TCATGCATAGTTGTTTTTAAGGTGAATTATTGATTTCTAGGCCTTTAAGTTTGATTCCCATTTCTGAGTATCCTCAATTCTTAGTGTGGAAACAAAAAGGGCTCAAATTTTGGGATTTGATTCGATTTGAAATTGGAAAATTTAAGAAATCACACGATAATAACTGTTTACTCTATACTGTATGTAGAGTGACACTACTTGTCTTCTCTTTGGGCGACGACGATGAGGCTGTTGAAGGCCGCGACGTGTAACTTGAACCAATGGGCAATGGAATTCGAATGCAACATGAAGAACATCAAGGCTTCGATCGCCGAGGCTAAAGCTGCCGGTGCTGTCATCAGGCTTGGACCTGAGCTCGAGGTCACTGGCTATGGCTGCGAGGATCACTTCTTGGAACTAGACACCGTCACTCACGCGTAATGCTTCTCTTTTAAGTTTCCCTTTGATGACAAATCGCTTGAATTGCTTAGTCAACATACTCTTTTTCTTTCAGGTGGGATTGTTTGAAGGAGCTGTTGCTTGGTGATTGGACGGATGGAATATTGTGCAGCATAGGAATGCCAGTGATTAAAGGAGCAGAGCGGTACAATTGTCAGGTTCTCTGTATGAACAGAAGAATCATCATGATTCGACCAAAAATGTGGCTCGCAAACGATGGCAACTATAGAGAGCTGAGGTGGTTCACTGCTTGGAAGCAGAGAGGAGAGCTCGAGGAGTTTCAGCTCCCTATTGAAATCTCAGAGGCTCTGTCACAGAAAACAGCTCCTTTTGGCTATGGTTACATCCAGTTTATCGACACGTGAGTTTGAATTATAATGCTTCACTCTGCTTTCAGTGATTTTGTCTGCAATTCTAAAATTTATTGATTGTTTTGTTCCTTCATCAGAGCTGTTGCTGCTGAAGTCTGTGAGGAACTGTTTAGTCCAGTGCCTCCTCATGCTGATCTTGCATTGAACGGGGTAGAAGTATTTATGAATGCAAGTGGGAGTCATCACCAACTGAGAAAGCTAGATATCCGTTTGAATGCGTTCATGGGGGCTACTCACGCTCGTGGTGGGGTTTATATGTACAGTAATCAACAGGGATGCGATGGTGGACGGTTGTATTACGGTATGTTCAAAGAGCCTTGAAGGATTGAAATTGTTAAAATTTGAGTAAATCTTATCTACTTTTTTTGTGAGTGACTATTTTGATTTGTTCATTTTTTATCCCAAGTTTAGATGGATGTGCATGCATTGTTGTAAACGGAGATGTTGTAGCTCAAGGTTCACAATTCTCGTTGAGGGATGTTGAGGTCATCATTTCCCAAGTTGATCTAGATGCGGTAACCCATAGTTACACTTGAACTTTGCTTTCTCTGTTTTGCGATGTATAAATGAAAGTTTTCTTAAGGACTGTTTTGCTTTCTTTGTCTGAGAAAGGTTGCTAGTCTACGCGGATCCATAAGTAGTTTTCAGGAACAAGCAAGCTGCAAGGTTAAAGTATCTTCAGTATCCGTGCCCTATAAGCTGACGCAGTCCTTTAACCTAAAAATGACACTAAGCAGTCCTAAGAAGGTTCTCAATCCTCCTCTGCTCCCATATCTTTGATCTTAAGTTTTCAGTTCTAATATTCATTAGTATGTAGATCATGTACCACTCTCCACAAGAGGAAATAGCCTTTGGTCCTGCCTGTTGGCTATGGGACTATTTGAGAAGAAGTGGCGCTTCAGGGTTTTTACTTCCCCTTTCTGGTGGAGCAGACAGCTCCTCCGTTGCAGCTATTGTTGGCTGCATGTGCCAACTTGTTGTTAAAGGTATGTTGAACTGTGTTTGTCTTATTTTTGAAAACCACATGAATAATTTGTTTTGATGATGCTGATATCTCCTTGTGTAGAAATTGGTAAAGGAGACGAGCAAGTGAAGGCTGATGCGAACCGAATTGGGAATTATGCGAGTGGGGAGTTTCCTACTGATAGCAAAGAGTTTGCAAAGCGAATATTCTACACTGTCTTTATGGGGTCTGAAAACAGGTAAATTAGTTAACAGTAGCAATATGGACGTGACTGGGACTTTTGCAGAAAACATGAAACGATTTCCGTTCTGAAACCTCAATTCTGCAGTTCCGAGGCAACAAAAATGCGTGCAAAGCAGCTGGCAGAGGAGATCGGTGCATGGCATCTTGATGTTTGCATAGATGGTGTTGTTTCAGCTGTTCTATCTTTATTTCGAACGGTTACAGGCCAGAGACCTCGGTATAAGGTAAAGTGTTCATATACACAAATCACAAGCAGTTGGTCTACCCAAAAAGATGATGATCATATGAAATGGTAGTTGGTTTTGTGTATAGGTTGATGGAGGATCAAACGTTGAGAATCTTGGGTTGCAGAACATTCAAGCCAGGATGAGAATGGTGTTAGCATTTATGTTAGCATCTCTCTTGCCTTGGGTTCATAGCAAACCAGGCTTTTACCTTGTTCTTGGAAGCTCCAACGTTGATGAAGGACTTCGTGGGTACTTAACAAAGGTGATTGGACTCATCTCTTTTTACTGCTACATCTCAATTCCCATTAGGTTGTTAACATAATTCATATTCTTGGTTGGAACAGTATGATTGTAGCTCAGCAGACATAAATCCCATAGGAAGTATCAGTAAACAAGATCTGAGGCTGTTCTTAAGATGGGCTGCAATGAATCTCGGTTATCAATCCTTGGCAGATATAGAAGCTGCTCCACCAACAGCCGAGCTTGAGCCCATTCGTTCTGATTACACTCAGGTAATAAAATAAAAAACGTTTGTGAGTCTATAGTGAAGAAGTCATCAAGTCTAACATCTCTTGATTTGTGCAAAACAGCTTGATGAAGTCGACATGGGAATGACATATGAAGAGCTTTCAGTCTATGGAAGAATGAGGAAGATATTCCGGTGTGGCCCAGTTTCCATGTTCAAGGTTAGATTTCTCAACTTCAGACAAATCTACTAAGCCATTCATGTCTTCATGATACACTGAAACTGGTCATAATAATGATTCTGCAGAATCTATGTTACAAGTGGGGAACAAAGCTAAGCCCAGCGGAAGTAGCTGAGAAAGTGAAATACTTCTTCAAGTATTATTCCATCAATCGACACAAAATGACTACCCTCACACCCTCCTACCACGCTGAGGTACTTGCTACTGATCAGAAGATTTATCATAAACATGTTTTGAATCTTTCTTGAGAGAAAAAGAACTTTTTGGTTACAGAGTTACTCTCCAGAGGACAACAGATTCGATCTGAGGCAGTTTTTATACAACAGCAAGTGGCCATATCAGTTTAAGAAGATTGATGAGATTGTTGACGGCTTAAATGGTGACTCAGTTGCTTTTCCGGAAGAAGAAGCAAGTTCCAGCAAAGAAGTTGGAGTCGTAGCAGCAAATTCCAGTGACCCAAGTGCAGGTCGCTGATGAACCACTTTCCTAAGATCTCTCTGTTTCAACTCAAAGTAGAAGTTTGGAACAATATTGAAACAAATAACATCTTTGTATCACTGAGATAGATAAAGTTGGTGCTGAAGAGAACAACAAAAACAACTTCAAATAAGTTTACTTTTGATGTTTGTACAGTTTTATATATGCTCTAGTTTGAGCATCATTCTCAGTTAAATTAAATTTAGTCAAATAGATTCAAGCTCATTGTTAATGAATTTGTCTCGTTGCTTATCACATTATTTATTTCATAACTTTATTGTTGAACTCAAACTTTCATGTAATTTGGATCATGCAAAGATTGAATTGATTAGGTAAAGAATAATTCAGGTTTGATATCATATCTTATTTGAAAATATTTCTTTATCCTTTTTCAGAAAGGTTAAATATCAGACCGAATCGATTCTACGGTATTCCCTGAAGATTTTTGGTCATATATACAACGTTATCTTTTGGTAAGGAAGATTTCATTACCCTTTTCAAAAATCGTATTTAGAAAAGATCACTACACAATCCCAAATTATTTGAATAGTACTCTCCCTTTCCTTTAGTATTTATAGGCATATTCTTGCTCATTGGTCTTTACTTCATACCAACAAAATGGCATTGTCAAAGCTTCAATTTGTAATAATCCTCGTCATATGTTCTCTCCTGGTTACATCCCAATCAAGAGGTAATGCGTTTCTTACTAACCACATACAAAATCAAGAAGCATATTTCTCTCTTTCTTTTAAATTTGTTTTAATTAGTGTTTAAAGGGTTGACGTAATTGATAATTTGATATATAGATGTAAGAGAGATCAATGCTGTTCATCCAGGGGAGTGTCTCTACAAAGGACCGTGCACCAGCAACAATGATTGTGTGAGTCAGTGTGGACCTCAAATCGTTGGCTCATGCCAACCCAGTCCTAGAGGTCATGGCAAGAAGATTTGTTGTTGTTCTAATTAAATCTTATTTTCTCTCATAAACTACAAACAAAATGTACTTTTGTTTACTTCCCGTTAATCTCACGATTTAATCTCTCTATATATGAGAGATGTTTCCTCATTCTATGAATCCTACAAAAGTGATATGTAATCCAAGACTTAGTTAAGATATTTTATATATAAAAAAATTACTTGGAAAATCTTAAAAAGTTACTTGGAAAATTTTACTTATGTTTTGTGGTCGATATCAAAGACATAAAAAAAAAAAAAACCATTTTTTAGTTATCATTTGTATTTCATGATATATGGTGGACTAAGTTTTTCTACACGTGCGGCGGAGCAACGAGAACCCAAAAAGAAATGTAAAGTGTTGACTTCACTTTGACCACTTTGACTTCACTCTCTTATGTTTTGCATGTGTAAGAGAAAAATTAAATTCATCAAAACATTTATTAAATAACGGAGTAACAGACATACATTAGACAAAACTACAAAACTAATTTTTCTTCTATTTTTTGGTATAGACTTGCATGCACCGTCATGACAAATGATTATCCTTTCGATAATAACATTTAACATAAATAATAAAACTTTATAGAAAAATCTCTATACATATACTAGCTAGTACCTAATCTTGATGGCTATGTTGTTGTTCTGATGCAGAAGTGTTGATACAGTTCCCAAGATTAGCGAAACTTAGCATCTCGTTATCAGACATTAACGATCTTAGCCCCAAGAAATCCCTCGTCTCTCCTCCACCGTCGTCGTTCTTCTCGTCTCTCGTGACAAAACCACCGTTGAAAGCTTCTTCTCCGCCGTGATGGTGATGATGATGTTGATTCATCATATAGTAGTCTTGAAATCCGAACGCAGGCTCTGGTGGTGAAGTCATCATCGCCGCCATTGTAGTCGTGATCAGGTTATTATAGCTTGACCTAGACGACGACCTCTCTTCTTCCTCTGGAGCATTTGTTGACTTTGTTGGACCCATTTGAGCTGCTTTCTGGAGCAAAGCTGTGGCTGACATAGCCGGAGAGGAGTGGTGGAAGTTGGATCTCCCGGTGCTTGCAGGAGAAGCAAGAGGGAACAAACTAACACTGTTGCCGTTAGGGTTAGGGTTTGATGAAGCAAGCCAAGAAGGGATGTTTTGGAAGTGATGCTGTGGTTCTTCTTGCTTCATAGAGAACTCATGACCATGGAGATTGTTGTTGGTGATGATGTTTTGGGAAGACGCAGAAGCGAAGTTGATGTTTTGTTGTGTTTGAAGATGATGAGCAGGAGAAGGAGAAGAAGATTGGATGAGAATAGGGTTTGGTATGGCTCGTGCACTCTCTTCTGCTAATGCATCACAAAATGCTCTATGCGTTATGAAACTATCCCTCCTGCAATATGAAACAGATCAAAGTTAAATAAAAAAATTACTTTAAAATTAACCAACAAAACAATGACTTTTTGAGGTTTGTAGGTCCATTTCTAAGGCATGTATTATTTGTGGGGGCATGTCACGTGTGAATAATAAGATGATAGAGATCAATATGCAATAAATGTGACCGTATAAAATGATTTCTATACTATAGGACTCAAGAAATAAAATCAATATTCTTACGTAAATACAGCGAATAAAATCAAGAAAGAAGTACCACAATAATAAATAGTTGTTTAAATGGAGATTCTTTGAGCTACTTAATTAATTACCACTTTTGTCCTATTCAAAAATTAAATGAAACTACTCATAATCCCAACAGATGGTATCAGTACCATATACTATGTGTCACTCATTTTCACATTACACAACACATCTAAAGTTTTTCATCACCATCACTCTTGTCTTCTTCCTAATTTGTAAAATAACCTTAGACATAAGTATTAAGTAATAAAGAAGAGTTTTGTTACCTTGAAAAGAGAGTTCCACAGTCACATTTGTATTCTTTAGTGCCACAAGTCTTAGAATGAGCTTTCCAATCTGATTGCACCGCATACTTCTTCGAACACTTTTCACATTTCCATTTCTTCTCGCCATGTTTTCTGAAGAAATGCTTCTTGATTCCGGTCAAGTCACCGAGAGCTCTTGACGGATGGTGGTGAACGCAGCCTGGCTCAGGACAGACATAGACTTTCTTCCTTATCACATCTTTGCTTGACCTTTGCTA